CTTGGCTTCCAGTGAAGTTAAACGATTAATTAGCATTTCAGGCAATTTTACCAAGAGATCGTTTAAACTCAAACATGATAAAGAAAAGCTCTAAACCCTCTCATCTCTGGGAGGCGATTTTTTATTGTGCATAATTTAAGCCTCAGAAAATGTCAGAAAAATTCTGACGGGTGCATCACAGCTGTCAGTTCAAAAAGGAACAAGCGCCAAAGCACCTAGAGATGTTAAAAACACGCGCGACTACATTAGTCGTCCGACCCCGAAAGTTCTCAGAAAAAACATGGATGTGAAGCAAATTCAGGTCGCTGTAGAAGAGAATAGCCTGAGCCTGCACGGCCATTGACGTTCAACACTGATAAACAACAGAACATGCAGTATCACCGAACCAAGCGCAAACTCATACCTTCGTCAAAAGCCGTTCCAACTCCATGTTTACCGATAGTGATAACGTTAGGAATCGAAGCAAAGCCCGCTTTATTAGCGGCTTATTAGCCATTACAAATAAAGGTTCAAACTATCTTAGTAGTAATGTATTCGCATTTGTCAAAACCATGTCTGACGTACAACAGGCAGGCTAAAAATTACACAACAGCATAATCCAATCTTCAATAGAAGATACGAAATTCATCATTGTCTTGATACCTTAGAAAATAAATTATACAAAATTAAACTTGGACAGAGATATCGATTACTTGCTGTCTGCTAGAATAACGATAACAGCACTCATTTCCCTGATTCATAGTCTGAAGTGGCAAGTTTTTGAAAGAGTTAGAATCCGCTTTCGATCAGCGCGATTCGATAACGCACACGAGCGAAATCATAGTTTATATTTCACTCTAGGTAAATAACGTGATAGTCCCATACCCTGTTGCCTTGAGCCACAGATCAAAAACTAAGAAATAATCGTTGAAAAAATTTATTGAATACCTAAAAGTAGGTTACGATATAAGAATTAGATTGTATGAGGATAATTTTGACTACGGTGATAACTGATACTTCTAAACACGTCATGTCTTAGCCATGTTTCCTTCGAAGTATCTTTTTATGCTTTCCCCAAAATCAAACTTTGCTACTAAGATCGTGAACGCAGACGAGCTGAAACGTCGGCAATCATTATAAAGATTACTGTCTGTCAATCTCCTTGCGTCTATAACCATTTAAGTGGCAGTTCAATGAGGACAGAACAGAAATGAGCTTCGGAAGAGCTGGTCTCTAGTTTAAGAGAAGTTCATGTTGTTCTTGTACGACGAAACAAATAATCTGATTGTAATGAGGGTTCATCCATTCACTGTATTTAAAGCATACAATGGTTGTTTCTGCTTCTGGACCTTAACATACGTACAAAGTTTTACCGCATTTACGTGGCTTGAGACGGCTCAAGCCACGTTCAGATCAGAATACGATGGAACAGCGATTTTTCCACATAAACTGAGGAAACCATTTAATAAGGTTGCTACTCTTCTCGCAAGCAGTAAACAGTAACGGTGACGAAAAGGGGGTTCAAGTGGAAGAAAATGCCACCCAACACAAAGATCTCAACTGAAAACAGCGTCACATTTCAAAGTTGACAAAAGTCTACCGATCCTTCCATTGATCCCAGTACATCAGGGGATGCCAAGTTGAAAGCTTCTTGGTCTAGTAGCAGAAGAAACCAATGACACTCAAGGGCCATATCAAAATTCACTTATTCGTGCTTTGAGGATATACCGTAAAACAATGAGTGAAGTTCTTTTCATTTCAGAACTCCGTTTCCTATTTGTTCTCTCGGTTTTCGAAAAGTAAGGGTTCTCGCAATATGGTTTGACTTGATCAGACAACATTCATAATCAATTTCTGATAGCTCTGTTTCTCGCTGACAGTACACAGTATACCTAGGCGACTTGGAGTAAGACTGTACAGCTCAAGATTAAGCGATACGTCGCACTCCTATAAAAACTGTACCGAGAATAGAAGAGAACTGCTGACAAACCTTCCGTCCTTGACTTTTAGATTCTGCGTCATACGAGCAGATAGGTGAAACATATCTCGATCTGCATTCCTTTTCAACATTTAGCACTGATCTGCTTCAATTCTCCTAATAT